CTCTTTTTTTCTTTGTCGTTTCGTCTCTCCTTTTCCTGTTCCTTTCTTTCTTATTCTTCTCTGTCTCTGTCTCTGTCTCTCCTCTCTCTCTCTCTCTCTCTCTCTCTCCTCTTTATCTCTCTCTCTCTCTTTCTCTGTTCTCTCTCTTGCTCTCTCTTCTCTTTCTCTCTCTCATCTCCCTCCTCTCCTCTCTCTCGCCTCTCTCCCTGCCTCTCTTCTTCTCCCTGCGCTCCCTCCCTCTCCCTACCTCCCCTCCCTCTTTCTTCCTCCCTCCCTCCCTCGGTCCCCCTCCCTTCTTTTCCTCTCCACCCTCCCCTCATCCCTCCCTCCACCCTCCTTCCGTCTTTCCCACCTTCCCTCTCTCCCTCCTTATATCCACTTGTTCTGTCCTCTCTCCCCTTCATTCCTCCCTCTTCACCTCCTTCAAATTCCTCCTTTCACTTCCGCACTCTTTTTCCACCTCTTTCTGTCTCTCTCTCTCTAACCCTCCCCCTCCCTCTACCTTTATCCCTATCCCCCTCCCCTCCCTCCCTCCCTCCCATTCCCCCCCTCCTTTCCCCCCTCCCCCTTCCCCCCTTCCCCCTTTCCCGCCACGCCTAACTCCCGAACGCGCACAATAATATCATAAAAATTCCCAAAATCTTCGTTCAAAAATCAATGAGAAGAGAAACTCAATCTCTGCCTAGGGAGATGCCAATAATAAAAACACAAAAAACAGTGAATTAAAAGTATATATGAAGAGGAAAAAAAGGATAAAAGAGAGTTGAAAAGAATATATGATTTGGAGACACGTGGGTTCAGCTTCGCCCGTGTTCGGATCCCCAGTGACCTGGTGTTCGTTCGGTCGCTTTCTTTTATCATTTGTTTTATTGTTGTCGTTGGTATTGGTGTTCGAGATGGTGTATTATTGTTTTAATATTATTATTATTATTTATTTATTTATTTTCTTGTATTTATGTAAAATGATTCTTTAATTATTTCACTTGTTTTCTTTTCGGTGACCTGCTTGTATTTCCACTTCTTTTCTTAGTCCTCTTTTCTTGCCATTGTTCTTCCTCTTTCTTTTATCTCTTTCCCTGCCGTCGTCACCACCAACAACAGCAACCTCCTCCTCATCATCATCATCTTGCTTTCCCTAACCATCTCCTCCTCCCCCTTTTTCCTCCCTCTTCTCCTCCATCTCCTCATTCTTCTTTTTCTTCTCCCTTTTCTCAGCTCACTTCCTCTTTCCCTATTCCCTCCTCTCCTTCCTCCTCCTCCTCTCCCCTGCTTCATTTCTTCCTTTTCTCCTCCTCCCTTCTTCCTCTTCTCCCCCTTTCTTCTCATCTGCTCCTACATCCCCCTTCGCTCCCAACCTCCTGTCTGCCCCCCCTTACTTCTCCTCTCACACCCTCCCTCTTCCTTCCATTCTCCTCTCCCTCTCTCCTCCCTCCTCCCTCCTCCTCCCTCCCGCCTCCCCTCTCCCCCTCTCTTCTCCCTCCTTCTCCCCCCCTTTTGCCTCCCCTCTCCTCCTCTTTATCCCCTCCCACTTCCCCTCCATTCTCCTCTCCCCTTCTCTTCTCCCTCCTCCCTCTTCCCTTCCCCCCTCTCCCTCTCCTCTCATTCCCCCCTCCCTCTTCCCTTCATTTTCCTCTCCCCTTCTCTCATCCTCCTCTCCCCCCCCTCCCTCGCCTCCCCTCTCCTCGCATCCCCTCCCACTTCCCTCCATTCTCCTCTCCCTTCTTCTCCCTCCTCCCTTCTTCCCTGCCCCTCTCTCTCTCCTCTCCTCTCAACACCATTCCCTCTCCCCCCTCCCTCTTCCCTCCATTCTCCTCCCTCTTCCCTCTCCCTCTCCCTCTCCTCTCATCCCCCCCTCCCCCCTCCTCCCTCTACTTATCCCGCTTACTCACCACTGGAAGAAGCCTTTCTCTCGAGGAAGGGGGAACCTGTCTCATTGCGTGAGCGTTGGCGAGAATTGCTTGCAACAGTCTCCCTCGCTCTCATCATTTTCATTTTATTCTTTCCAATTCATCTTATTTGCAACATCGCCAATATACTCGGAAGAAAAATAAAAACGGAAAACGCTTAAAAAAAAACACACATACATACCAGAAAGTAAGCCAAAAAGTGTTCGAACAAATTTCCCGCCAAAATAATTGTCAGAGAGAGAGAGAGAGAGACACGAAGCCGACGCCCTTTACCCGCGCATCGGGACGAGGGGCATGCACGCGACCGGCTGACGCACGTGCGAGTTACCTCATTCTTCTAACTACGTCTTTTGTGTCTGTGAGTCTGTGGCTGCGCGGCGCTGTCCTCCTCCTGTTGCGATGCTGCTGCGACCGTGGGAATCCTTCGGGTGGGGGGGGGGGGGAGCTGTTGTCACCTGATCATTTGCAATGTTACAGGGGGGTTGGGTGGGGGTGGGAGGGGTATGGGGTGGGGGTTGTGGGGATGGTGGTAGGGGGGCGTTTGTGTGTGTGTGTGTGTTTGTCTACGTTTTCCATTGTTTTTACATATACATCAAGCAACGTTTTTTTCGAAAACTTACCTACGAACACATACTCGTACAGATACAAACGCACACACAAACCAACAAACACACACAAACCAAATAACGAAAAAAAAAAGATAACAGACCCAGACAGCATAACCCAGATTCTTAATATAGTCCTAAAAAGATCACACAAAAGGGACGAAATAACCCAAGAATACACTTCGAAGTCCGCACAACAAGTTCTAATGGACCTTAAGCAGCGACTATCAATTTGTATGAGATGATTGTACAGATACTACGGACTGGCGAGCGTCACATCCGATGCACATTTAGGGTCACTTTCTTGCTAACCGATCTTTGAGCCTTTTCGTGGTTGGGGGGGGGTCTTTTTTGGGTAGGAGAATTGCGTTTTGAGATTTTTTTTTTTTTTTTTTTTTTTTTTTTTTTTGAGAGAGAGAGAGAGAGACAGAGAAGAGAAGAAGAGACGAGAGGACGAGATCGAGGAGAGAGAGAGAGAGAGAGAGAGAGAGAGGAGCGAGAGAGGTGAGTGAGGTGAGTCAGATGTGAAAGAGAGAGACGAGAGAGAAAGAAAGGAAAGAAAGAAAGAAGAGAGCAGAGAGAGAGAAGAGGAGTGAATTAGAGGCAGTGAGAGAGACGAGAAGAGATGATGAGAGAGAGAGAAAGAAAGAAAAGAAAGAAAAGAATAAGAAAGAAGAAAAAGAGAGAGAGAGGAGTGAGAACAGAGTGAAAAGAAAGAGAGAGGGGGGGGAGGAAACAGAGGAGAGAAAGAGAGAGGCGGGGGAGGGGAAACAAGAGAGAGAGAGAGAGAGGTGAGACAGAGTGAAAGAAAGAGAGAGAGAGGTACTGCTAATATTTATATTCGTTTTATACCTGACTATTTTTGTACTATGTTATTCTTGTCTCTTTTTTTCCCTCCACCTCACCATTATGATAGTAATTATGATGGAAAAGGTGGTGGTGATGATATTGACTATCACAATATTAATGATAATAGAAATTATTATAATGTTAATGATAATATGATTATATTGATAATGATAACGATATTAATGCCAATGATGATAATAACTAATAATAATAGTAGATGAATTAACAAAGTCGATGATACCAGTAAATAATTTAACAAACCATTGATAGCAATAGACAGTCTCAAGGAGCACCTCGCTATAGCGGCCCCCGCCCTTAACCGGCCCTTCCTCCCCGCAGGTGACGATGGAGCCCCGCCACTTCGCGAACCTCCGGCCGGTGTCAGCGCGGGGGAACCTCAACCAGACCTCCTCCACCTCCCCCCGAGGCGCCCTCTCCTCCCGCACGCCCTCCTCCCTCTCCTCCAGGACCTCCTTCTCCCCCAGGGACAACCTCAGGAGCAGCCTGATCCCCCGGAGTACCAACCCGCCCAGGGGCACCAACCTCTCGCCGCGGACCAACCTCTCCCCCAGGGGCACCACCGGCACGCTCACCCCCGCGCCAGGAGGGTCTTCGCCGAGTCCCACCTCCGCGACCGCCACGAGCCCTGGGGGAGGCGTGCCCAGGAGCCCCCGCGTGTGGAAGCCCAAGGGACCCCAGCAGACCGTCGGGAAGCCCAGCAGGATCCTGAAGAAGGAGGAGAAGGACCAGATGCTGAAGAAACTCACGCCGATGCAGTACCGCGTCACCCAGGAGAAGATCACGGAGAGGTAGGTCCTGTCGGGGGTCGATTCCCCTCGCGCCTCGTGCCTCTCTGGCGGGTCCTTTTACGTCTGTTTGTCTGTTTTCTGTTTTCTCTTTTTTCGCTCTGTGGATCTGTTTTCTGTTTTCTTTTTTTTTCGCTCTGTGGATCATCGTCTCGTTTTCGATATGTTTTTTTTTTTCTCGATTTTTTTATGTCTTTCTTTCTTTTCCTCTCAACTGCTGTATCTCTTTCTTTCTCCACTCCTCTCTTACTCTCTCGTCTTTCTCTCTCTTTCTCTCTCACTTCCTCACTCTCTCTCTCTCTCTCTCTCTCTCTCTCTCTCTCTCTCTCTCCTCTCTCTTCTCTTTCCTTTCTCTCTCTCTCTTCTCTTCATTCTCTCTCTCTCTCTCTCGTTTCTCTTCATTTCTCTCTCTCTCTCTCTTCTCTTCCTCCCTCGCTTCTCTCGTCTCTTTCATTCTCTCTCTCTCTCTTCGTTCTCTTCATTATTCTCTCTCTCTCGTTCTCTTCATTCTCTCTCTCTCTCTTTCTCTTCATTCTCTCTCTCTCTCGTTTTCTTCATTCTCTCTCTCTCTCTCTCGTTCTCTTCATTCTCTCTCTCTCTTTCTCTTCACTTTCACACATGCACGCAAGCATGCACTTACATACACACACACACACACACACACACACACACACACACACACAACACACACACACACACACACACACACATACACATTACATACACACACACACACACACACACACACCACACACACCACACACACACACACACACACACACACACACACACACACACACACACACCACACACACACACACACACACACACACACACACACACACACACACACAACACATACACACACACACACCACACACACACACCACACACACACACACCACACCACCCACACACACACACACACACACACACACACACACACACACACACACACATGTACATTTATATATGTTCATATATATATATTTTAACTGTACGAGACCGTAACGAGATCTTTCTCTCTCTTTCTCTCTCACCTCTGTCTCTCTCTCTCTCTCTCTCTCTCTCTTCTCTCTCTCTCTCTCTCTCTCTCTCTCTCTCTCTCTCTCTCTCTCTCTCTCTCTCTCTCTCTCTCTCTCTCCTTCTCTCTTCTCTCTTTCTCTTTCATTCTCTCTCTCTCTCTCGTTCTCTTCATTCTCTCTCTCTCTCTCGTTCTCTTCATTCCCTCGCTCTCTCGTTCTCTTCATTCTCTCTCTCTCTCTCGTTCTCTTCATTATCTCTCTCTCTCGTTCTCTTCATTCTCTCTCTCCTCTTCTCTTCATTCTTCTCTCTCTCTTTTCTTCATTCTCTCTCTCTCTCTCTCGTTCTCTTCATCTCTCTCTCTCTTTCTTTCACTTTCACACATGCACGCAAGCATGCACTTACATACACCACACACACACACACACACACACACACACACACACACACACACACACACACACCATACACATACACATACACATACACAACCACACACACCACACACACACACACACCACACACCCACAACACACACAACACACACACACACACACACACACACACACACACACACACATACACACACACACACACCACACACACACACACACACACACACACACACACACACAACACCACACACACACACCACACACACACACACACACACACACACACACACACACACACACACACAACAACACACACACAATGTACATTTATATATGTTCATATATATATATTTTAACTGTACGAGACCGTAACGAGATTGCCAAATTAATCTCCATTACCTTTTTAAGTCCTCCAAAAACACATCAAATTTTAGCAATCATAATTTGTCATTGTAGCGAAAGCATGACATCACTGTGACGTCACGGCGCAAGGAACATCCCCATGAAGTCAGCATCGCGAAGTCTCGGTCCTGTGACGTCATCCGATCGGTCACGTTTCGGCGTCATGGAAAACTTCTTTTTTCCGGGGGGGGGGGGGGGTCATGCTGGTAGTGTCGTCTTTCGTATCTCTTAAACGTGACATTATCAGCCTTATGGAGCGCGCGCGTGTCGTGACGTCATATCCGGTGTGGAGAAGAAATGGCGGGTGTCTTTTATTTCCCTTTCCTCTGCTCTTCCTCTTTGCATCTTCCCTTCCTCTGGTCTTGTCCTCTTCCTTTCATCTCTCCCTTCCCTTCTCCCTTCTTCTTTTACTGCCATGCCTTTCCCCTCTGTGTCTACTCTCTTCTCCTCCCTCTGGCCTCATCTCTCCCTCTTTATCGCGTTCCCTCCCTCCACCCCTATCCCTCCCCCTCCTTCTACCCTCATCCTTCCTTCTCCCTCTTTCCGTCCACCTACCCCCTCCCCTTACCCCATCCTCCCTCCCCTTCCCTCTCCCTCCCCCCCCTTCCCTCTCTCCCTCCCCCTTTGCTTACTCCTACCTTCCCTCCCTCCCGCCCGTACCACCCATCTCTGACCTCCTCCCTCCCCCCTCTCTCCCTCCTTCCTCCTCCTCCCCTTTCCTTCCTCTCTCCCTCCCCCTTTCTTCCTCTCTCCTCCCCCTATCTTTACTCCCTCCTCCCCCTCCCTCCTCCCTCTCCCTCCCCCTTACCACCCATCCCTCCCTCCCTTCTCCCGCTTCCCCTCTCTCCCTCTCCTCTCTCCCTCCCTCCCCTCCCTCCCTCCCTCCCTCCCACCCTCTCTTCCTCCCTCCCCTCTCTCCCTTAGTCAGTGTAGTTACAAGAAAACAGGATTTTTATTTACGTCCTGTTAGCGTTGTATGGTTTCTTTACTTTTCTTGAAATATTAGAAAATATTCTTGAGTGGTTTCTCCTTCTATCTAGATTGATAGAGAAATAGAAAGATAGATAGTGAGATAGATAGGTAGGCAGATAGATAGATAGGTAGGCAGATAGATAGACAGATAGACAGACAGATAGATAGATATGTAGACAGATAGGTGGACAGACTGATAGATAGAGGGATAGGCAGAAGGACTGATAGATAGAGACTCATAGATCTGGTTTAGAATTCTTAGAAGGTAATTACTGTCATCTTAATTCGTGTGGGTGTGAGAAGAGAGAGAAAAGGAAGAGAAAAAAGAAAAGAGAAGAGAGAGAAGAGAGAAGAGAGAGAGAGAGAAGAGAGAGAGAAGAGAGAGAGGAGAGAGAAAGAAGAAGGAGAGAAAGAAAGAAAAGAGAGAGGAGAGAGAGAAAAGAGAAAAAGAAAATGAGAGAAGAGAGAGAGAAAGAGAAAAAGAAAATGAAAGAGAGAATGAGAAATGAGAGAGAGAGAGAATTGTATATGTTAGATGGTTTTCATTTTTCCACAACCTTTTCTTCTTCCTCTCCTTCTCCTCTCTCTTCTTCTTCTTCTTCTTCTTCTTCTTCTTCTTCTTCTTCTTTCTCCTTTCCTTTATGACAACCATCTATTCTGTTCGCCATTTCATTTACGTTTCTCATTCTGTCATGTGACGCTGGAATTTAATTTGCGATTGCAATTACACCTGAATTCGCTCTCGACGATGTCTTCACGAGTCACGGAAGACAAATGAAGAAAGTCTTTGTCCAGTCTTCTTTTCTTTCTTTCTTTTTCTTTAATTTTCCTTTTTTTTTTTTTTTTTTTTTTTCTTTCGTTTTCTTTATTTTACTTTATTTTTTTCTTTTTCTTTTGTTTTCTTTCCTTTTCTTTCTTTCTTTTCTTTTTCTTTTTTTCTTTTGATTCTTTCATTTTTCTTTTTGTTTTCTTTTTCCTTTTTCTTTTTTATTTCGTTTTTTTTTTTTCTTTCTTTCTTTTTCTTTTCCCTTTGCCCGGCTTTTAAGCATAGTCATATGTGATGGGATTTGCAAGGACACTTTAACGGTTTCCAGGCAACGTAATCATGTTGAAGGCACTTTGCTTGCACTTGCGTCATGGCTGTTTTGCAATAGGCCCGTTGTCCAGCCCGGGAAAAGTTAAGTATGTTTAACGGTTTAACAGTTTCGTCTTGGCGCCAATATTCGAATTTTTTTTTTTTTTTTTTTTTTTTTTTTTTTTTTTTTTACCGGAATTAGGATTGATAGTGAAGTGCCAAAACCTCAACGAAAAGATAAAGGTTATTCGTAAAAATAATAATAATAATAATAAAAGGATAAAAAAAAATAATAATAAAAAAAAAAAGATAATAAAAAGACACTGAGGAGTTTCAGTAACACAGGCATATATTACAGCATTACGTTGCTATGGAACACTGTTATGATTCTCTTCTCCAACCAAAAGATATTTACGGAAACCTCTTCATTTAACCAAAACACCAACGACAACAAAAGCAAACGGACCAAAAGTATTAACATTCCCATCTCTCTTTAGGCCGTTTCCCAGCGAAGTATTATTTAGCACACGTCCTTCGTATCATACAACGACATGTAAAATATATAAATGAATAAATATATATAGATAAATATAGATATAAATAAATATATATAAAGCAACAACGACAGCATATAACCAAAACAACAGCCAAACCCATTTTTACATGTCGTATTTCATAAACGTAAACACTGCAATAATTTTTACTATTATTAGCAAAAATAAAAATAAAAAAAGAAAAATAAATAAAAAGAAAAAATAAATAACAGTTACCCCTTCTCCAGCAAATACGAAGGCAGATCTCTCCTTACTGTACTAAATATAGAAGCACTGACACCTCACTTTACAAGCTGTATAGAATACTAATAATAAAGATACACCGTATCCAAAAACAAAAAAAAAAAAAAAAAAAAAAAAAAAAAAATCCACAGGCCCTAAATAAGAAAAAATAGATAAAAGAGGCTGTAAAGAAAAAAGAAAAAATACGTATTCAGTAAAGTTTTAAAAAAGGTTCCATAGGCCGTAAAGAAAAAAGAAAGGAAAAAACAGGTCGTATTCAGAAAAAAAAATATAAAAAATAAAAAAATAAAAATAAAAATCCACAGGCGTACAGAAAAAAAGAAAAAAATATTCAGTAAAAAAAAAAATCACATAACTCAAAAAAATACAAATAAATAATAATAATAATAATAATCAAAGATAATTAACAACCCCTCTCCCCCCGTAGGCCGTACTCCAAAAACATCAAACAGATAGATAATAATAATAATAATAATAATAATAATAATAATAATAAAGATAAAAAAGATAATTAACAACCCCTCCCCCCCCCACAGGCCGTACTCCAACAAGTACTACAAGCACTGGGAGCGCGGCATCTACGCGTGCGTGGTGTGCGGCGAGGAGCTGTTCCTGTCCCACACCAAGTACGACTCGGGCTCCGGCTGGCCTGCCTTCTATGACGTCATCGATAATGAGAAGGTCTCCCTCAAGCAGGATCTGTCTCATGGTAAGGGGGGGGGGGTGGGATTGTGTTATTTTGTTGTTCAACCAAATCGGTCATCATCATCTCTTCATCAATCACGCATCATCATCTCATGCATCATCATCATCATCATCTTCATCATCACCATCACTATCACCATCATCATCATCATCATCATCATCAATCATCTTTCTGCTACACCGTGTTATATTGTATCATATGTTTGTGTAAATATTATTCGTATTACCCTTAAAGTGGCTTTTCTCGAATATTATATTTTTATTGATGAATGGTAAAACTACCGTGTTGATACTTTCTAATAAATCTAGTTTGTGCATTGTAGGTTTTTCTGCCATTTTCCTTATATATCTGGCCATTGCACATGTCATTATTTGTATACAATATAATAACTAAAAAGGCAGTATACGTATGTAATTTTTGTATGACGAAGGCCGAAAATTCTCTAGATAGAAATCAAGAAATAATTAAATAATTCGTTTCTAAACAACTACAAACCCCTTTTAAAACATTCCAAACGTTCCTATCCCTTCTGAACCCTCCCCGACTATTCTAACGACATCCCTTCCCTCCCCAGTTGGTGCTAACCTGCTGCTGTTAGTGTGCAACCCGTCACTGGCCCGGACGGAGGTGGGCTGCGCGACCTGTGGGGCTCACATCGGCCACGTGTTCGACGACGGCCCCAAGCCCACCGGGAAGCGATTCTGCGTCAACTCCAATGCCCTCAGCTTCATCCCTCAGGGCCCGGTGGACGAGGAGGCCATCCCGCAGGTGTTGAGGAAGGTGGGTTGGTTGGTTGGGTTGCAGGGGGAGGTGGGTGGGGCTGTGGAGATCTCTCTCTCTCTCTCTCTCTCTCTCTCTCTCTCTCTTCTCTCTCTCTCTCTCTCTCTCTCTCTCTCTCTCTCTCTCTCTCTCTCTCTCTCTCTCTCTCTCTCTCTCTCTCATGTTCTTATTAAGAAGAGAATTGGTAACTTAATAATAGTGTACATGTTGAAGATATTACGCGATTTCAAGCAGGATCCTATTTATTTATGATTTTTCTATGTTGAATTCTTTATTTCCGATAAAGAAAATAATGTACACAAATCAATGCATAATTTTCCCATCAAGTTATTAGAAGCCCAACTTTCCTCTCTTTCAGGAGATCGTGCGCGCCTCGACCACACCACGCCCCTCGGAGCCTCTGGTGCACTTAGCTTCGCCCTCGAACTCCTGTGCCCTCGGAGCCCGCATGTGCTTCCGCGTCTCCAGCATGGACACCTGCGAAGCCACCACGCCGCAGTCCTGAGAAAAGCCCCATGGTTCCAGCGGGGAACACGAGGTTGTGGTCTCCTCTGGAACCATGACAACCTCGCGGGAGGGCGGGGCGCCGTTCGTCAGCAGTGCGCCCAAGAGTCAGAAGGAGGACAGCCCGGCGGTGTTCGCGCAGAGGAACATCACCGAGCTGAAACACGGGGACGAGGCTGAGGCAGAAGGCAGTTCGAAGAGGCTGAAGACCAAGTGCGACTGGCCGGCTGGGACGCACGTGGCCAGGGACGACAGGACGTACGTCTCGCCCAGCGCCAGAAACCTTTCCGCGAGAGAAAGATTTTTCAAGAACCTGGAGGATAATAATGTCTTGAAAAACGGCGATAGAAGTACGTCCACCATACGGGAAATTCCCATCAACGTCATAGAACCTTGCGACATAGTGATTGAGGAAGATGAAAACGAATTGAATGAGGAGAGCGAGGAGGCGGAAAGGGCGGCCACTAGCCCATCTAATGCTAGCAATAACAACCACCAAGACCTTCCAGATAATGCGAAAGAAAGTACAAAAGAATGTAGCATTACAGAAGAGGTATCGACGACAAAGGACAGAGTGCAGACTCCAGACAACCAACTGCAAGAAGATTCAGAGCTAGAAAATGGCAATGAAACCCAGCCCTTGCTTCAGGAGGAGAGGTCACCAACAGGACCAATAACAAAGAGTAAACCAACACCAGACAAAGAGATCTCACCAGAGAATAAGTTCGAAGACAATTTGAATAATGGCCGGATTATTACAAACGGTTGGCCAGGCATTAACAGATACACGGTGGAAAAGCTGGAAGACAGCACAGGCTTGGACAACAAACCTGCGGTGAAATTAAGCCCTCCAAAGTCCATTTTCTTGGAAGAATGTCCAGGCATCCATAAGCTAACGGGTGATGCAGACCCCGATGCTAACACAGAGACTCTAGTCAACGAAAAGAAGGAGAGTAAAGTGTCCAAATTTGTGCGTATATTTAATAAGAAAGAGACGAGCGCTGAGGGTGGAGGAGAAAGAGAAAGGTCGGTTGTGCGAAAGCACCCAAGTCGAGTGTGGGGCATGTGCCTACAGGTACAAAGCCCGACGACTGAAGAAGAGGACGATTCGAGCTATAAGAAGAGTGAGAGGGACAGCGTGAAGAGTGAGCCCCTGTTGGACAGTGGCTACAGTGACAAGGAGTCGAGTTTAGGAGTAGGTATCGAAGGGGATCGGAACTCGACGAGCTTCCATGACGTAGAGGCAGCTAGCTTTCATTCTTTAGACATTCTCAATGGCGACAAGAAACAAGATGCCGAGGAGAGAGACAAACTTGAGAATCTGAACTTGATACGTCGCTCGGGAGGAAGGAGGTCTTTCGACAAGCCAGAAAAGGCATCGAAGCCCAAGCGATCCAACACGTTAGGGGACCCGGCTGACAGCAAAGCCATCCTCTATAAAACGACCAAGACGCTCCCTGCCACCCATGGTCTGAATGAACTAGTACATGAACACGCTAGTCACCCCTTCTACAAAAAGTTCTATAGTCACTGTGTGATTTTACCAATGCGGAAAAAGAAGAAGGAAACAGCAAAGAAGTCTATGGAAGATGAAGCGGTGAGTCTGGTTGCGAGTGCAAAGGAAGAAGAGACCACTTCGAGTGACGTAAAGAAACCAGAGGGAGAGGAAGACAAGCCAAATGAGGAAGAGAAAAAGGAAGAGGTTGAATCCCCCAAGAAGCTGCCAGTCATAGAAGACCTCCTCGCAGAGATCCTGGAAAATGTATCCTTGATGGAGAAGGACATAAAAGATGACGAAGAAAAGAGACTGAGCCTAGTCGACTTTCTGGACGGACGTTCAGAATTCGACTTCGATGACAGTGACAGCAAATCAGGCACAGAATCCTCGGAGAAAACTCCCACAGGCATGGGATCCGCCGATAAAACTCCCACAAGCATAGGATCCTCCGAGAAAACTCCCACAGGCATAGGATCCGCCGAGAAAACTCCCACAAGCATAGGATCCGCCGAGAAAACTCCCGCAGGCATAAGATCCGCCGAGAAAACACCTACAGACGACCCTGCCTTCGAGGAAGGAGGAGTGGCCGAAGGGGCTGTGGGTCCTTCGCACTTCACCAGAGACATGAGCATCCCGACGTGTCTCGTTAGCAGCGACACGACAGAGGACATGTTCACGGCCGACTCCATGACGCCCGACTTCGAGTGGATCGACGAGAGCGTCCGGAGCCTGAGCCCCGTGTCCTCGGGCGGCGAGAGCATCAAGAGGTCGAACTCGCGGGTCAGTTCGCTCATTTCGAAGTTCGAACGAGGCGGTTCGTAGGGTCGTCGAACTTCGAAGCGGAGCGTCAACGAGGGAGCTAAAAGAGATCGCAAACATTGAATACTCGGTTGTCTGACGGGGAGTTTTTGAACGTCTTCAGTGTTGAATATAATCAAAGGAGATAACGTTCCTCTTTATTGTTTATCGTCGCCGTTTCGAGTCCCGCGGTGGACTGAACTTCAAGGTGTCTCGCGGAAGGTGAATTTATGATGTAAAAAGGAGGATTTAATCTTTTTTGAAGAACTGTTATTGCTTTAATGATAAAAAAAGGACTTTTGTATGCTTCACTTCTTCAAATAGTATTGAAACAAGATGCTTATTTAGTTAAGCATTTGAACTTGAGATTATATTTTATTATATCAATAGTTTTGAGTAATCGTATGGCTCAGTAGTGTATCAGAATTAGCAAATTGGATAGTATTTAGTTATTGTTATTATTCTTTGGTTTGTTTCCTTCGCAGGATGATGAAATAGATACTTAAATGTATATAATGTTTATATCTAGCACTGTATATTGCTGAAATTATTTTCAGATCTTTCCAGGTGGTGTTTTGAAAATTTTATGTTAACTTAATATTGGATTTTTTTTCTCGATTAATGAAATTTTCTCGTCCTTATTCTTGCTAGTCAAGCCTCTCCTAATCAGATTTTTGACAATTTTATTACTGGATACTTATGGTGTGAAATGGTGATTTTCATGCATTTTCATGAAATACAATGTATTCATATTGTATTTGTTGTCTAAATGCTTCTTTCTGTTTTCAGTCTTTTACACACACTATCTACCTATGTCTATATCTATCTATCTATGTCTATATATATCTTACCTATCTATATCTATCTATCTTTCTACCTCTATATCTATCTATCTATATCTATCTTTCCTTCCTTTCAGTGCTCTCTCTCACGCTCTCTTTAACCGAGTATTACTTGCGAAAATACGGCTTTTGTGTCCATTCCTTCCTCCGGTGTTTACATTGAGGAATTCTCATGACATTTTATATGGATTTATACCTATCATTATTTTTAACATTTTATTTCGAATATTTATTTGAAACACGTGTGTGGATGAATCTATATTGAGTTGAAGGTAATGTAGAGTAGGTAGGTAATTATTATTACTGTTTTTTATTTCTTTTTTGTTATAATAGATTCGAAAATGATCTACGACTTTTCAATTTCCATCTGTGTGGCTTGATGTAGCAAGATGATTATTTCCATAAATGATTAAATAGCTCTGTAAATAGATACTGTTTTATCATGGCTCGATAGAAAGGTGAAAGAAAATGGGAAGTAGAATCCGTTTCCTTTGAGGGGAGGACTGTAATATTTTATTGTTACGTGACATGTCTCATGAATTCATATTTGACATAGACTGTATTGTTTTTCAGTCATGTTTTAGAAGTGCATAGAACGAAATTACTTTTGAACACGTAATGTGATCTATTGGTTTGAAATGTTCATTGCTCAAAATGACCTTAGTATTTGATTTTACTTATCATGAAATATGATATTGGTTATTACTTGTTTCATGGAACGGAAATTACAGATGTTTTTTTCTATATGAATTATTTTGGTTTTATTTTAGTAAGATCGAAAAAAATGAAGAAAAACAGTATAGGACTGGATATTTAAGATAACAGTCTTAACATTAAAATATTGTGTACATGTTAATATATGCATTCATTGTTAACTCTGTGAATTCAGACCATTTTATATACAAGCTTAATGTAATGAATTTATGTTGAAAAGCTGTACCAATGTTGATTTTTCAAACCTGCCACTTTTTCGATATGCAGAAAGTTTTTATCGTTAGGGTTATCATTAGGAGGAGCTACAATCATGAATAGAATACTATTATGATGATATAAAACTAAGTTATTGATTTGTTTAAACTTTTGGTCCCTCCGGATTGTAATGTTTTGTCATCATTTGTGTATGTCAAAACTATTTTGTAAGGTATAAAAGCATTGCAATTCTTTTATATAAAAATCATCTGTCATTCATTAAGCAACACACACACACACACACACACACACACACACACACACACACAACACACACACACACACACACACACACACACACACACACACACACACACACACACACACACACACACACACACAAAAATAAATTTCCTAACATATTTAAACAACAAATATTATATATATATATATATATATATATATATATATATAATATATATATATATATATATATATATATATAGACCGAGAAAACGATGCTTCTCAAAAGGTACACTTCTCTGTAACGAAATTCCAGTACAATGATCATGTATGTGTTGTTATCTTCTTCAGATCAGCTTAGTGTCTATTACGAGTGTCGATGTTCAGCTGTTTCGTATTTGCCATCGTGTTTACATCTTCCTTGAACTGAAAGGAACGTTTTTGGAAAATTGTGAGCGTAAAATTTCATTGTTTTTCGTTACGTGAATGAAAGTGCCTGCTGTTGAATTTTCTCCGTCATTTTTCGTTTATTTTTCTCTCTCTCATTCTCATTATTATTTTTATTGTCTCTCTTCTTCATTTACAAGGTAAATTGCGTCTTACGGAAAAGGATTTTAGGACATTTTAAGGATTGTGAGATGATGTGGATTCACGACCAGTGCTTCCAGTCAGGGGTGCCAACAGCGATGGACATTCAAACCTAAAATTCCAAAATAAAAATGTATGATCAA